TATAAATGCACTAATTGAGTTAGAGGCCCTGGCCCTACATGCAAATTTTTCCTTATTTATTATAAGTGCTTCACGCAGTTTGCTTCTTTACTTACCGATGTATAATAGGCTATCAACTTTAAAATAGTGACTGCTTGATGTGTATCGGTTGAATTTGCCGAGACGGCACAGAGCCCTGAGAGTTAGTGTCGATCCAACCACATCTTCGTGTGCGTGAGGCTATTTTTATCTATATAATTCCTGCAGATATCTGAACATCCAGCTCCTTCTCGTGTGATTGGCTAAGAATAAAATGCAACGCAAAACTTGTGACACACGCTGACCGATGAAGCGAATAGCATGGCGTTAAATCCAGGTTTCTTAAATACTTATACCTTTATTCTAATGATATTAACCCTTTGAATGGTAGATCGTTATATAAGTGACGTCATAATATTACTGGCAATAATTTTGACGAAGTTTTCATTAACGAAGTTATATTCATCAACGTTGAGTGATTACGATGGGCTTATATCCATAATGAAGTGCCTTTAAAATCCGATTAAGTATATTTGACAAAACTATCAAGTACAGCATTCGCAAGATAATTACATAAATAGTCACATAATCAAACCACACTAAATGTGATTGACTAAATGTGCTTGTAGCCATTATAGTTGTGAATAAAATCCAATATATTTGGCATAGCCTTGTTTCACTACGCTCGCCCGATAATTGTATAACTAGGATGTGATTGACTGTAGAAGCAATTTACTCCATCACCATAAATGTTACAAATGTCAATAAAAGCTACTTTAATAATATTTTTAATTTGGTAAATTATGATGTTATATACTTCCACGGTAATTGTATAAAATATTTACTTAATTAAACCATACTAAATGTGATTGAGTGAAGAAGCAATTATTATTGATTGTTTATATAAGTGTCAATAAAAATCTACTTTAATACATCTGGTAGAATACTAAACTCGCTCGATAAATGTATAAATAGACTCACACAATTAAACCATGGAAGTGTATTAAACCAATCTAGATGTGATTGGCCGTGAAATTGATTGTTGCCATTAATGTTTTATAAGTGTAAATAATAATCGACGTTAGTATATTTTGGTAGAACCATGTTCCACTATAATCGCACTGTAATTGCATAAATAGTCACATAAAACCATACTAAGTGAATGAAAAGCAATTATAATTGATTGTCGCTATTAATCTTTTACATGAGTGTGAATAAAAATGTATTTTAATATATTCGATAGAACTATGTGGCACTACACTCTCGCAAGATAGTTGCATAAATATTCACACAATTAAACCAAACAAACAATTCCAATTGTCCCCGTCGCCATGAATGTTATAAGTTTTATTTGGTAGAACTAGGCCTACGATGCGCTAAACTCGCAGGATAATTGCATAAATAGTCACTCAATTAAACCATAGTAGATGTGATTGACCGCCAATTATTGTCCCCATCGCCATTAATGTTATTTTGAATAATATCTACTTTGACGATAATTATTTAATTTGGTAGAACTAGGCCTATTCAGTGCTACACAATAACTGCATAAGTCACATTATATCATATGAAACGTGGTTGAACGTAAAAGCAAACGATTGTCGTAATCACCATTGTTATATAGGCCTAAGTGAGAATAACATTTGCGGCACATAAAATGAGTTTCTCAAGGTCAAAGTCTAAAAGAGTGAAAAGAAACAAAACAACCAAACCAACGGCGTGGTCCTGAAACCTGAAAAAAGCAAA